ATTAAGAATGGGAATCCCAGAGCACTTGATTGTGCTCATGAGGAACCTATACCTGGAGCAGGAGGCTGTTGTACGAATGGAGCAAGGGAGCACAGCACGGTGTGGAACTGGGAAGGGAGTGTGTCAGGGATGTATTCTATCTCCATACCTGTTCAATCCATAAGCTGAGCAAATTATCCGAGAAGCTAGACTCTATGAAGAGGAATGTGGCTTCAGGATTGGAGGGAGACTAATCACTAACCTGTGTTATGCAGAAGACACCACCTTACTTGCTGAAAGTGAAGAGGATTTGAAGCTCCTGTTGCAGAAGATCACAGAATGCAGGCTTCAGTATGGACTGCATCTCAATATCAAGAAAACAAAGATTCCTACCACTGGACCAATAGAGAGCATTATGATGGATAGAGAAGAGATTGAAACTGCCAAAACCTTCATCTTGCTTGGATCCACAATTAACACCCTTGTTACAGCAGTTAGGAAATAAGGAGACACAATGCCATGGGAAAATCTGCAGTTAATGACCTTTCCAAATCCTGAGGAGTGATGTCAATTTGATGACTATGGTGTGTCTGATTTAGGCCATGGTCTTTCCAATTAATAGCTATGCACCTGAGACCTGGACAATGAATAAGGATGAAAGAAAAAGAATTAATGTCTTTGAGCTATGGTGTTGGAGAAGAGCACTGAACATGGCATGGATAGCCAAGAGAACAAATAGACATGTCTTGGAGCTGGACTGCTCTTTGGAGCAAGAATGATGAGGCTTCGCCTCACATACTCTGGACATATTGCTAGGGGGTGCTAGTCTTTGGAGTGGGACATGATACTGGGAAGGGTGGAGGGTTGGCGAGGGAGAGGAAGACCCTCAACCAAGTGGACTGACAAGGTGACTACTGCAATGAGCTCTTGTGTGAGGAAGTGTGAGGATGACGCAGGACAGGACTAGGTTTAGGTCTTTTGTTCATAGGTTTGCTATGAGTCATACTTGACTCGAGAGCACATAACAACAATAGTAGGCATAGCTCATGGGGAGTTCTGGTGGCCTAGAGGTAAGAAGCTGCACTGCATCTGAAGGCACATGGTTCAACTCTACCAGCTACTCCATGGGAGAAAGATGGGCAATTTCCACCTGTTAGATTAACTGCCTCTAAAAACCTGCTGGAAGGTTAAGTATAGGTAAGTTCTGACTTGACAGTATACAGCAACAAGACGAACGGCTCAGCTTTCAAAAGATAAAATGTCTTGAAACGATACTAACAGGTACACAAATTAACAGAAGTTATAACTTATTGTCTACTAATTACATGCCAGGAATCGCTTTTTATTAGCTGGCATTGATTCTTTTTTTTTTAAAATAATTTTAATGAGCATTTACGGAGATTTTGGATTTCCATTCATTCATTGCTGCACTTCTCTCTCTGCCCAGCCCTCTGTCCCCCCGCCCCAGTTCACTCCTCTCTTTCAAAAGTAAAAGAAAACACTCCCTCCCTGGTACACAATCCCCCCGCACCCCTCCCACCGCCCCAAGTACATTCCACTATGCAACCTTAATTGTGGACTCTTGTGATAACCATAATATCCCATCACACATCACTTTTAAATTACGGCATTGATTCTTAACCATGGTGCTCACACATGCCAGGTACTTTAACATGTTGCCACACACTTTTAAATTGACGACCATGCTTAGAAACACATTTGCTGTTGTTTGCAGCAATGTGTTAACATTAAAGTCCACATTTAAACATTCTAATGGCTGGTTATTATTATAATTATTAACAGTACCACATAAATGAAAATAAAAATAAGGCCTCAATAAAGGAACATGGATAGTTACAGTAATAGAGATGGAGCTCAGAATGAAAATCACTCAAAATGAGGACAAACAGCTGCAAACACTTAATACTTAAAAAAAAAAGAATGTGGAATGTACGAAGTTATGAATGTTAGAAAACTAGAAGTTGTTTAAAAAATGGCAAGCAAGAACAACAAAATTCTAAGCATTAATAAGATGAGATAGATTGGCTCTGGTCACTTTGCATCATACAATCACATGGTATATTATCACAGGTACGAAAAACCGAAGAAGGATAATATTATATTCATCGTTAAAAAAGACAATTTTACCTTCGATCCTGAAGTACAATGTTGTGACTGATAAGATATTATCCACATACATACAAGGAGGACCTGGTGTTATAAATATTATGGAAATACATATACGAACAGCTATAGCCAAAGAGGAGGAAATTGAATATTTATACCAAATTTTGCAATTGGAAACTGACCAAACAGGTAATCAAAGTACAATAATGATAACTAGTGACTAGAATACAAGAGTTAAAAACAATGAAGAAGAAATGGTAGCTAGAAAGTGCACACTCAGTGACAGAAATGAGGCCAGAAATAGAATGATCAAATTTCGTGCATTCAATGATTTATTCATTGAAAATAAATACCTTTTTTTAAAAAAAAACCAAAAACACAACCAAATGATGACTTTACACATGGACTTGATGGATTGTATAGGAATCAGACTGACTCTGTCTATGGAAGGAATCATTGGAACAGGTCATTACCAGCAGTCAAAATCAAGACAGGTGCTGACTATGGAACAGACCATCAAGTACTCATGTGTAAGTTCAAATTGAGACTGAAGAAATTTAAACAAGTCCACAAAACCAAAACTTTGATCTTTAGTTTATTCCACCTGAATTCTACATCATGTTATGAACAGGTCCGAAGCATTGAACACTAATTATTGAAGACCAGATTAGAAGTGGGATGACACCAAGGACATTATCAATGAAGAGAAGAAAGGTCATAACAAAGACAGAGGAGAAAGAAAGGAAAAAAAAAATCACAATGGATGTCAGAAGACACTGAAAATTGGACTAAAGCATTAAGAAACCAAAATAAAAGGAAGAGATGTTGAAGTACAGGGGCTGAATAAAAGATTTCAAAGGGTAGCTCCAGAAGACAAAGCAAAGTACTACAATGGAAAGTGCAGAAATATGTAATATGATGGGATGAACTTGCTTGTCATTTCTCATGCTTAGAGAACTGGAAAACCAATTCAAGTCTTGAGTTGTAATACCGAGAGATGCTATGAGTGGCCAACAATGAAATATTTCAGTAAGTATCATATGAACAAGAGCCAATCCAATACTAATGAAGAAGTTCCAACTGTACTGAAGGTATTGGAAAAAAATCAGGCCATGGGATACCAACGACGTTTTTAGCTAACAGAGGTGGCCTTGGATGTGCTCACACATTTATACCAGGGTATTTGTAGGACAGCTGTCTGGCGGACTAACTGGAGGAGATTCATATTTATTCTCATTCTCAAAAAAGGTGATCCAACAAAATGTGGAAATTATCGAATAATTTTGCCTAATATCACACACAAGTAAACTACTGCTGAGGATCATTAAAAAATAGCTAACTGCCAGATATTCAAGCTGCATTTAGAAGAGGCTGTGGCATTAGAGATCATCACTATGGATGTCAGATGGATCCTGGTTAACACGTTGCTGCAGATGACGGCAAATGTGTTTCTAAGCACGGTCGTCAATTTAAAAAGTGTGGGCAATGTGTGAGCAAAGAATACCAGAAGGATGTCTATTTGTGCTTCATGGACTATACAAAGGCATGTGACTATGTGGATCATACCAAATTACGGCTAACTAAGAATAATGGGAATCCCAGAACACTTAAGGTGTGCTCATGAAAATCTTTAACGCCAAGAGGCTGCTGTGTGAACAGAGCAAAGAAACACTATAGTTTAAAATTAAGAAAGGCATGCATAAGGGTTGTATACTTTTTCCATATCCATTCAATCTGTAAGCTATGCAAATTATTTCAGAAAGTAGACTCTGAAGAAGAAAGTGGCATTAGGATCTAAGGAAGACTCATTAATAACTTGCATAATGCAGATGACACAACCTTTCTTGTTGAAAGTGAGGAGGCCTTTAAAGACTTGCTGCAGAAGAGTAAACACTGTAGCCTTCAATATGGACTGTATTTCAATGTCAAGAAAACAAAGATCCTCACCACCAAACTCAAAAGCAGTATCATGAGAGAAAAGATGGAAATTGTCAATGATGTCAACTTACTTAGATCCACAATAAATACACTTGGTATAAGCCGTCAAAAGATCAGGAGACATATTGCACTGCGAAAGCCTGCAGTCAGAGATAACACCAAAGTACTGCAGAGCACCGATGTCAGTTTGAGGACTAAAGTGTGCCTGATTCAGACCATGGTCTTTTTAGTTATCTGCTGTGCATGTGATAGCTGGCTAATGAGTAAGGATGACAAAAGAACAGATGTCTTTGAGTTGTGGTGTTAGGAAAGAGTACTGAAAATCTCTTAGACTCAAAAGAACAAACAAAAAAGTCTTGGAGAAGATGTAGTCAGAGTGCTCCTTGGAGGCAAAGATCGTAAAGCTTCGTCTCATATATTTTAGGCATGTTACTAGGAGAGGCTAGTCCTTAGAGAAGAACAGCATGCTTGGAAAGGCGGAGGGATTGCAAAAGACAGGAAGACATTCAACCAGATGGACTAACACTGTGACTGCAGCAATGGCCACCAATATGCCAGAGATTGTAAGGATGGCATCAGATAGGGTAGGATTCAGATCTCAGGTTCGTAACATCACTGAGTTGTACTTGATTTGATGGCACCTAATAACAGTAATTCTTGGGTTTTATCTGGCAAGAAATTACGAAGCTTGGAGTTACAGGATCCTAGTGTGCTACAGTGGTTCTGAAAACTCTCTGCTGCATAGTCATGGTGGAATGAGATTCCAATATTTAACAATATTTTTTACTTCTGATTTGCTTTGATAATCTCAGAGGCCAGACAAGACATTATCAGTTGATTTTCTAAAGTCAGAAATGATAAAAGCTAAAGAGTACTTTAGATTTAAGTCGATTAAGCAATTATATTTTACCTCATTTCAATCAAACCCATCCAAGATAGTTACAAGAAAGTCTTACTTTTTTTGTTTCGAATTGCGCTTCTTCTTGGCAGCATCCTCTGCAATCAGGATCCAGTCGAAGAAGGTTGAACTGCCCAAGAAGATCACAAGAACTGCAGAGTAAGTTGCTAGAGAAACCTAGCTCTCTGCATGCCTCTGATGAAAACTCGGCCCCAAATGCTGATATCTGAGAACAATGAATGGGAAATAAAACAATCTTGTAGTTACATTATAAAGCTTGCAAAAAAGAAAAGAGAAATTTGGGCTATTAGAAACTAACACATTGAAGATAAGTTAGTCAAAGACAAATTTTTCATTATTTTTCCTACTTGTCCTTTTCCACACCCTACAAAAACCTTTTCGCCCTTAAAAGCCAGTCATTTTTCAGTTTAGCTAAATTATAGTTATGTCAGTTTGTTATGATATGTATATGCATGGAATATTTTAATTTTATTAAATATTCAACATGTTTTTAAGTACTGTAAAATCCACTATGACTCACTGCGAACCTATGAAGATATCAAAACCTTGTGTATGTGTGTGTGTCTGTGTGTGTATATATATAAAATTATTTTTTGTGTGTCATTGAGTTGGAAATGACTCATAGCTGACCCTACAGGTTTATAAAGGCTGTCAAGTGCATGGTAGATGACTGCCTATCTTTCTCCTGATGAAGCTCCAGGTGGTTATGAACCTCTTCCTTTTGGGTTGGCAGTGCAACCAGAGCTCATAAGCATTTGCATGTATAAATATATATACACACCTTTTTATTTGTTAAAGGAAGCTCTAGGGGCTAATGGTAAGGAGTTGTGCTGCCAATCCAAAGGCATCCAGATGTGAATTCACCAGCTGTTCCATGGCAGAAAGATGGACAAGCTGCTCCCATGTGATTTACAACCTCTAAAAACCCACTGAAGAGTCAGCTATGAGTTGTTTCCCACTGGAGGACAATGAGCTTGAGTTTTTACAGAGAAATATGACCTTCTAGATTAGTACCATCTAGTTGGCTGGAGCTTCCCGACTAAAACAAGCCTGAAAGCAGGAGCGGCATCCACTTCCAAAATGGCTTGCCTCTGGAAACTTTACGTACGAACAGTGCTCAGGCCTTTCGTTCATAGGGTCACTATGAGTCGTCTACAACTTGACGGCACCTAACAACAATAACAACGACCACAGAGAAAGAGCTACGTTGGCCTAGTGGAAAGAAAGTTATGCTACCAAGCTGAAGGTGGGTGATTTTAATCTGCAGCCCTCGGCCGGGTTCAAATTGTTTTCTTGTCAAACATTCTTCTAGGTGGTATAGCACTGGTCTGTGCATTGCTGTACAGAGGTAACTCATGGTTGCTGTGATGCTGAACACTGTGACAGTGATGTGCCAAACGTGGTAATGGGCACCCATGGTGGACAGTGTTGGCTGGAGCTTCCCTACTAAAACAAGCCTGGAAGCAGGAGCGGCATCCACTTCTGAAATGGCTTGCCTCCAGAAACTATATATGAACAGTGCTCAGGCCTTTCATTCATAGGGCTGCTATGAGTCATCTACGACTTCATGGCACCTAACAACAACATCTTACAAACTGAAGTCTATTCCCATCTAGTGCTGATTAAAAGGGAAGGATATGTACTAGGGGATGGAAAGGGCACAAAAGAAACAAAATTTAGTTTGTGCCCTCTGGTTCTAACTGCTTTGTTCACATTATGTTATTTCTGAATTGTACTTAATCTGGTTTCTTAACATATTACTCCATTGAATCTGCCCAAATCCACTACTTCTAGGATAGATAGGGAATCCTAGATAAGCTAACTTTTCTGGGACCTAATTTCCTCACTGGTAAAGATGAAAGGATTACATTCTATGTAAAACCAATTGCTGTAAAGATTCAATGAGAAGATTTATATAAAATAACGAATCAAGCGAGCCCTGGTGGCCAATGTGCAAGAAGCTACACTGCAATTCCAGAGGTGCACGGTTTGAATCCACCAGATGCTCTGCTGAAGGAGGAGGGACAATCTCTTCCCATACCAGTCAGATCTGATTTGATGGTACACACATAAACAACAACAACAACAATAATAATAATAATAAAAAATGATGAATCAGAGTAACTGCAAAGGCAGGTTTGTAAGGAATATCAACTTTCTTCTGTGCATTCTCCCTTGTTTCAGTGAAGCACTCAGTACACATCCATCTGAGGCCCATATTTTTGATTCGCTTCTCTGGGGCTTTTCATGAATAACTTGACCTTTCCTTGTTTTCACACCCTCTGGTTCCAATTGCTCTCCCCTACATTTTTTAACTGTACTATAACTGGTTTCTAACAGGACTGCAGAGTCCTCTCTTTCCTCTCCCAGAATGGCTACTGAGAGAATCCAATCACAGGAAACAGCAGCTGTGCTTTTCCCCTGTCAAGGATGTGAAACTTTCCCTATCCACCCCACCTGCCTCTTTCCCAGCACTAAGTTATCTAAGACCTCAGGCCCCTTCCCTATCTTGAAGAAAGCATCTGGAAGCATCCCCTTCCTCAAGTTCCCTACGAGAGAATAGAAAATCCCTCTCAAACTTTTACTGGGGGCTGGTCTTCTGCTTGAGAGCCAGTCTGGCAGTTTCTCAATAAACTGTCCTTCCTTGGCGACCTTACAGTTTTCTAATCCTATTATTACAGCGAATTTGACAGAATCAACAAGTGCAAAGATACTTAAAACGGTGGACTCTCCTGAAATTATCACTTTGTCTTCTGTGATACCACTCTCTGCTAGGTTTCCTCCAACATTTTTTTTCCTCCTTAGAAAGGTTTGCCCTCCTCTTTATCTTTTACACATCTCTTAAATGAAAAACAAACACCCCCCCAAAAAAAACCCCCAAACTTAGCAACTCCTTTGAATGTCTTAACACTGTTTAAAAGCACAAACCGTATCGAAGGGTCCACAGTAAAAGCCAGAGAAAAACTAAGACTATAACACTAAAGTAGCGTGAACGTCTAACAATGAAGAGATGAGAACTACAACTAACTACACCTGAACCAAAGATACAGGGGCTTTCCTCTATGGTTACGATGTTCGCCATAAGCGACAATACTCCTGTTAGAACAACCTTCTTTCTTTTCCGAGCTTTCTACTCCTACCCCCTTTTCCCGACTACGTGATTTACAAGTTGTCTTTGATTGAAGTTCTGTCAGGGAAGACAAGTATCCAAGAAAACTTGAAGTCAAGAGAAGCGCGCCGCTAGAAACTAGGGGTGGAAAAGGATAAACATCAGCAGAGAAATTAAGCCACGTCGTCGCATTCCAGACGAAGTCATCTTTAAGGGAAGCTAAGTTTCCCCGCCCTATTCAAGTGTGGCTTCCCAAAGGAGCTTAACCCTCCGTCTTCCTCCATGCAGTCCCTCCCATTCGTCTCCACGATGCCGCAGAGGTGATCTCCACTCACCGCTTGAAGCACGCTCATCAGCAGCAAACGAAGTGCAAAGGACGGCGCAAGCCATCCTCCCAGCGCCGCCATGGCCACCGTCTTCAGTAGCTGCACAGAGGACCCCTTGTCTAGGGCGTCCACTTCAAAGCCTGATCCAAGGCACGCTGCTAAGGGCCATTGTCATAAAAATATTTCATTCTCTAGAGAAAAGTATTATTTGAGGTCGCAGAAAACCTTAAAGACTATAAAATAGAAAAGCAGTCACCAACTCCTTTCGGTAATCCAAATCAGGCACTTTCCTAAACCCCCAAAACTGTGCCTCTCTTGGCTTCTTTCATTCACGACATTTCATCAAACGGCCAAAGAGCCCCACCTTCGCCAGTTCAGGCCTGCCTTTCCCCCCAAGTTTATCCAATCGAATGCTGCTTTAGTCAAAGCCCCATGGCAGAGGAATCCAACCATATCGCGAAGTGGGAGAGGTGCACCAGGACTCTTCAGACCAATAAGCATTATGGGACGGGTTGAGGGGCGGAGCCTCTGGTTGCCCAGCAGCGTACGTGGATGCGTGCGCGTGGTGGCAGAGGGGGATGGGCAGGGGGCGGGGTCGAGGGCAGCGCAGCCGCAGCCGCATCGCTGGTAGAGAGCGCGCGGCCGTGAGCAGTGGAGGGAGGGAAGGAAGCAAGAGAGAGGCTGGCGGGGAGGCAGGCTGGTGCGGGGGTCGGGGACTCAGGCAGTAGAGGGAGGCAAGAGCCCGGCAGCTGCTTCGCGCTGTTTGCTGCGCGGGCTTCTGGAGGGGGTGGCCATTGGGTCTGCTGAAGAAAAGCAGCACCGGCAGCATTGGTCCTGGTGCCTGGGGGCGGGGGACTGGGGAGGCGAGAAGGGGGGTCGCTGCGGTGCTTCTCTCGCTGTCGCTCTCTCCTTGCCTCTCCCGGCTCGGTGGGCTCCTCCCGGCGTCTCTCTCGCCTCCCGGGGCCCCGCTCCCCGCCCCCCGCGGTATGTCTTGATACCGAGCAGAGGGTTTCATGGGGCTCCTCAGGATTATGATGCCGCCCAAGTTGCAGCTGCTGGCGGTGGTGGCCTTCGCAGTGGCGATGCTCTTCTTGGAGAACCAGATTCAGAAACTGGAGGAGTCCCGGCTGAAGCTAGGTGAGGAGCCGGGCCACTCGGGACTGAGTGGCGTGTAAGGGGCCGGGCCGGGGAGGTGTTGCAACAGGAGTAAATGGGCGTTCGTTTAACCTAGGAGGGTCTGGCTCCCGGGTGCTGGGACCAGGGGATGTTGAGGGCACCAGCTCAAGCAAGAGGGTGAATTAAGCTTTGGTGGCGTGCTGCGCTCGCGAGGTCACGGTAGAGGCTACAGTGTTGCACTTTCCGGAGTCAAAGGGTTGCGCCGAAGTAGCATTCCATGGAGGGAGCGTGCAAGAGTGAGAGATGCCTGAAGTCTATGGGGAGCTCGAGGGGAGCTCGGAGGGGATCGTGGTGGTTAACCTCGCTTGTGCTTAAAAGTCGTCCAGAAAGCCTCGGCAATGTCAGGCGGGGAGTATTCTTGTATGTAAGGCACCTGGATAGGGAGTCTTTTGAGTGGGGCTCAGGAAGGGCTGTCTAGGTGCGCAGAAATGGAAGGAGATGCCGGAGTGTTGAGTTGAAAAATACACTGTAGTGAGTTGCACGTCTGTGTTGGGGGCAGCAAGGGACCATACTACAGATGGGAGAGGTGTGCTGCCCAGGTAGAACTGGAAAGCACACAGAAAGCTTCCACGAGTCCTTGGAAAGAGGCATCGGAGCTTCAGTCTTTTTTAGTGTTACAAAATTGATTAAAGTTTTGGTTTAAAGAATTGCACGACTGAGGTCCAGTCTAGATTTGAACTTAAAGTAGAATGGCACCCAAAGGACTTCCAAGAATGTAAATCTTTATGGAAAGGGAGTCACACATTCTGCCAAGTGGCTGATCTATTTGAACCGCTGAGCATACTAACCCTTTAACCCTAGCGCCCGCAAGGTTTACCAATTGGGGCTTATAAATGCCACGGCTTGGTGACAGTGGCGATGGAGTGAATTTAGGAAAGGGAAATTATAGTGAAGCTTTACATTTATGAAGGGAAAAGTAAAATTATGCAGAAAGTTAACCATATTCTGGTTAGTTTTGTTAGGTGCCCTCAAGTCGCGTACGGTATGTATAGGTATTGTAAAGCGTTAACACGGCTTGCTTTAGTAGGTGAAGGGATCTTAAGTACAAACCCCTGGAATGTGAAGTGGTGAAAGACCGACCAGAAAAATGCAAAGATGATAGGTGCTTTAAAATTAATAGGGAACTTTGGCATTTGGAAGAGCTCAGAATGCTGAGCAAGTGTCAAAAGAATGTTGGTGATAAATTTTCATTTGAAATTGTACATGGCACATAAAAATCAACTGAAGAGGCATTAATTTGAGTGTGGGAAAGTAAAGTGAAGTTTTTATGAATACACTTTCACCCCAGCATCATCTCAGATATCTTTTGAAAAGCAAGCACTTAAAATTCTTTCAGCAGTAGCATTCTGACCAATGAGCAGCAGATGTGAATTATGATGAATTTTTAAGGCAAATACGTTAAGAATTAATAATACTCTTGCATGTTGTACCGAACTCCAAATTTGGTAGACTTTGCAAAAACCTTTGAGACGTTGTAAAGAGCGCTGCATCAAAGAATGTAAAAGAAAATTTAGTAAATCTGATTGAAGTGCAGCTAACGTTGAAGTAATGAATATCTGTTCTCAACACTGGAATAAAAGTTACCCCATACCATTCTGGAGTAGTATTGTTAACATCATTATTTTTCAAATGTTTCTCTTGTAGAATAGTCTGTAGGTTCCAAACTAACAATTGCTCTGAGAGAGAGGGTTGGATAGTCTCCTCCCTCTTGCTTTGTAACCTTGGAAACCCTCTGGAGAGTTAGCTATGAGTCGGTTTTCACACAGGGGTAATGAGTTTGAGTTTTGTAGGAGTTCTTTAAATAATGATGAATGTGCAGTATGTGGCTTCTTTTTGTTTAGATGCTTTTAACAGCACTTAGGGTCATTTTCTGGTGTTGTTAATAATCAAGTATAAAGCTATAAGAAAAATAACTCCTTTTAGAGAAAATTGAATGTTATGTGAAAATTAAAATCTTTATGTAGTCTTTGTAGTATTGGTATTTCAAATTCTCTGAAGTTGATTTCTTAGACATAAACCAGTGGGATAGAATGAGTATTTTCAACTTCTGATTTTTCTAAAAAGCTGTTTCCACAGAGACAACATTAATGGTTCCCTAAAGTTATAGAAAGCCACAGGTAGGAATAGACTCCCCCCCCCAATATTTTTTTTAAAAAAGAAAAAAATGTTTTAAAATTTATGAAAGATAGCAACTGTGGGCCAAAATAAGTTAATTCCCCTAAATGAACCAAGAAAATCTCCTAAAACAAAACAGTTTTAGAATATAATAATTCTCTACAAATGTAAAAAAAAAAAAGCCCAAATAGTTTACCTTTATGTTTACATCTCCAGTCTAGATCATAAGTCATTATTAAAAGATATGTTTCCAATTTGTAATTTGATCCCCTAGGAATGGAAGGCATAAGAAGGCGTATTGACCACCAGACTCTGTATTAGGACTTTTCACCTGTAATGTTCTTATTAAGTCTTATAAAATGCTATAGGAAGCTTTTTTTTTTTTTTTTTCCTAGTATAAGAAAAGGCTCTGAGGTTATAAAACTTCTCCAGAATCACATAACCAGTAAGTGGCAGATACCAGATTAGAATGTAGGTAAATTTAATTCTAAATATAGTGTTCCTTAATTATATATCATGCTGCTTGAGACTTTATATTGTCATTGTACTAAGATTTAGCTATTTCAATAAGATTTTTGAGCTGTAATTCCAATGTTTAATTGCATTTATTGCTATAAATGAATATCATTTTGAGAAAATCCAATTTATAACACAAAGGAATTGGTTTAGCGCAATGTCTGCTCCATGTTTATATCCCTGTAATTAGCATAATTATATTACCCAATGAAACAACAGGAGTAGATGACATGTTTCTGATGGGGGGAGGAATCTATGGTTGCTTTTTGTAAATGTCAAAACATTGAAAAGCGTTTTAATTCTGACATCTATTAAACATGTTGCCTTTGGAAGCAGTTTTAATTGTTTTTTATCTTTCTGTTCCAGAAGATTTCAAAGGATTGTATTATCTTCTAATGCCTTGAATTTACTTTGATTTGAGAGGATTTTGATGGTGAAACACTGGGTTTATCATTAGATGTATTTACAATTAAATGTATTCATTGATTTCTTGGGAAATAAAGTATATGAATAGAAATGATTTGTCATATAAACTGGCTTGGAAAATTAAATACATATGTATGCTTATAAAATTAATTATAGAAGCATTTAATTTAGGAAAATTAATTTATAAATAAGAATTATTAACAATACAATATCCTTTTCAAATTTCTTAAAAACAGACATGGCCTATTATTTATTACACTTTATCTTTTTAAAAATGTGAATATCATACATAACTTTAAGATCAATGTTCCATAGTATGTATGTATTATAATTTATTAAGCTTCTATTCCAATAATGAAGATTCAGGTTGTTCTATAATATCTCCATTATATTTTTTTGTCCTCTGTCTTTTTCTCTCATGTTATTACAAGCAATGCTATAAGAAACGTCCTTTTATGTCCAATTATCTCTTCATGTGTTGATGCTAGGATGATAAATTTACTCATGTAAGATTACTGGTGGAAAAATTAGGTGTTTTGTTATTTAACCAATTTTAAAATATGTTACTTTCCAAAAATAATTATTTCTAAATGTAATTTATACTTCCAGCATATAAATACTAAATGCTGTCCTCTTTTCATTTTTGTTATTCTGAGGCTGTGAAATGACATGTTTTTGCATTATTTTACATTTTCCCAGCTTCCCGTTAGTGTGAACATCTTTACCTATGCTTATTTCCCTTCGGTATACTAGTATATTTTCTAGTTGTTCTTGTTTAGGAGTATTGAATATACCATGGACTGCTAAGAAAATGAACAGGTTCAACCTAGAGAGGGTTAAACCAGGCTGCTCCTTGGAGGCAAGGATTCTGAAGCTGACATCATATCTTGGACATGTTGCAAAGAGGGACCAATCCTTGGAGAGGGACGTCATCCTTAGGAGGGTGGAAGAACAGTGCAGGAGAGATTGATTCAGTTACTGGGGGGTAATTGGGGTAGCTGTGTCGAGACAGTGAGATTGGCACAGGATAGAGCAGGGTTTAGGGCTCTTGTACATAGGGTCACTATAAGTCACAGGTGACTTCACAGCACGTAACAACAACAACCACATACTTGTCTATTGTCGTCTATTTTTCTATTAGCTAATTTATGTTACAGTTTTTAGTTGGGTAGGGGGATATATTAGAATTAGTATTCCATTTTGTATGTCTTGTATCTGTTTTTCCTCCAGGTCTATCATTTGTCTCTTATGTTTACTTATACAGAAGTTTTAAAATTTATAGTCAACTGTGTCAATTTAGGCAAATATTTTTCCTCTGTTACCTATGAAGACTCTATTCAACCAAGACTATGACAATCATCTTGGTTTTGTGTAGAGATATGTATAGTCTACTTTTTTTAAAAATTATTATTAAATTTTATTAGTTTTAATGAACATTTACAGAGATTTTGGGTTCTCATTCATTCATTGTTGCACTGTTTTCTCTACTCTCCTCCCCAGTTCGTTCTTCTTCCCCCTCCCCGAATGTCTGTTTTAATTGTCCAATTGCCACAGTGCTTGTCAAAGCCAGTTCTGATTAATCTCCTTTGTCAGTGTGTCCTTTGCCATTCCCTATCGCTCCTCCCTGAGAGAGACTTCACCCTGATTCATAAGGAAAAGGGGATGGCGTATTCTCTTAGTTACTTCCTGCTGAAAAGGGACACTGTGGGTTTTAGGGTGAAGATCTTCTCTCACTACTCTAAAGGGCCCCTTTGCCAGTAGGAAACACATAGACTATTATGGAGATTGATTTTGGAATTTAGATGTACTGTTATTAATTGTGCTTAGCCGTACATGTTCATATCCTTGAAGATGTATCATGGAGGTGTTGCAGCCTAGAAGACACAAATTTAACTAACAAGTTA